AATACAAGCTTCAAAGTGCAACTTTGGAGATCAGCTGCATACTCAACTACGTGATCGTCTAATTGCTGGAATCAATATTCCTAAGTTAGAGAAAGAGTTAATTCAGATTCCTTCTTGTACTTTTCAAACTGCTAAAGATTTATGTATTACATATGAAGATGTCCATAATGAATACTCTGCTCCCACTACGTCAGTATCTGATGTTATGCTTTCTAAAGTCGAAAATACAAGTGTTCATGGAAAGCAATCCAAACTGTCGTCCACAGGTAATAGAATGCAGCGAGAGATCAAAAATATTAAACCATGTTTATCCTGTGGAAAGTTACATCTACGAAGCACTTGCCGTTTTCGGAGTGCTAAGTGCCATAAATGTGGTAAAGTGGGACACATCAAGACTGTTTGCAGAAGTTCGAATACTTATGCTGCTCAACATTCTTATAATTCTCCCAAGCTGTCTAGTAAAATGGAGTCAGTGTGTCTTTCAACTTTTCAAAATACTCAATCTCATCCAATGAAAATCTTCACTACAAGTTCAGCAACTCAAGCGTCAACTATATCACGTGCTTTCAAAAATGAGGTAGCCGAGTTACAATGCGATCTGCCGAAAACACCAAAAAAGTGAGTGAAATGGAAGCTGGCTGGTTGTCCATTCGTCAACAGCTGACTGAGATGAGAGAGCAACTGATTAAAACGGAGGAATTGCTACACTTGCATAAATTGCGTCTGTTGAATGCAGAGCATACAAGTACCCGTGAAAGTCCTGCAAAACTTTTCAAATCTCGAATTCTCAAAAAGCATCTGATGTCCACGACTTCTAATGTACATTATTACAAAGGGAATGACTACAGACCTTCTGTTGGAATCATACTACAAAAAATGGGAAATCGAATGGTGAAGATATTAGACATCAAAGATCACTCAGTTCATAACGGACACCTGGACAAAGTGACAATAAATGAAGTAGGTCGTTCCAATTATAATATTATTGATTCCGCTACTAATCCTGATTTTGTAGATAATTCAGAAATAAGTCCAGATAACAGTGATGAAGATAATATCACAGAATCAGTTAGGTAGAAGCTACTTGCAAGCAAACCGAGACATCGCTATAAATACGCGAGGAGATATTCGATGTGTGGCGGATGTGGTGATTGACAATTTCTATCTCTCTATTATTTAAAATATTTACTGTTGACTGTTGATATGTTTCTTATATGAATTGCATAAGAATTCCGCTAAATACAAATTCCTGCTTGCTGCCCTCTCTGAGTTTTGGTTGGATTCGTGTAATTCCGTCATCTCGAAATACTAATATTACAAGTGCAATAAATTACTACATGTTGGTTATGTTCAAATCTGTTAATTAGAATGTTCGTTCCTTTCGCGTGTGAATTATCGTCATCTCATATATGTATGCCTTTAGAACTTAGTGATTACGATCAAAATACTCAACAAATTCCACAGAAGTACAATTGAAGTGAAGTACACAGTGTAGCAGTAAGTAATACCCTAAAGTCATAAGTCTGTGATTTAATCATCATTCAGCCTTGGGTTTTAACCTTCACTTTTATGGTCAACTGTTTAGGCTAAATATACACGGTCTAGCATGCATACAGTTTGACATGTTCTCGCACTACCTTCATTTGTTCGCCCACAATTCCTGCTTGGCTGGTCACAGATCCAGACCTAATGGCCTAAATTTTGGGGTATATTTCATATGTCTTTTGTCACTGTTTTGATTTAGCTGGTTTAAGTCAAATAAATACGACTGGATTTGAAAGATGGTGTTCACGTACAATAGTATAATTATATTGTTCTTGGTTGTTAACCCCATAGTTTTCCAAAACATGTTCCACTTGACTGACTTCTAAGACCTCAAAATAGGATGACACTAACCCGGTTGTGGAAGTTTATAATTTGTCTCCTTTATGTCCATATTTCACGAGTCTGATTTTCAAGCAATTAATCACTGCTTGTTGTCAGCAGATGTCTTTAAGTAAGACCTAAATTACGCTGTGAAGTATTTTGTATACAACTCACTATGTTTGCAAGTATCCTCTTCTATATTTCAGATAGTGAAATTGGAAACTGGTTTTGCTGATTCTTAAGAAAAATAATTTTGAATCACAACCCTTAGGATAACACAATTTTATACTTTCAACTTTGCAAACAACAAACAGGTTACCGATAAACATTTAAGGCAATTAAGATTTTCTCCTCGAGATTTAGTCGTATAGAACATTCCAGAGGGAATCTTTTATCACCAAAATATCTTTCCTCAGTACTGGTGTAGAATTTTCAAAGCGCTTTGGACTGCTAGTTGACAAAAAACATCACAAACTTCTAATTCAATGATACTGACGCAATCATTTCATTCCCATCCCCCAATAATTCTGCATATGCTAAACCATTAGTAGCGTTCCTTAAGTTAACTGAGCCTACATGTGCAAGAGCTCTCCCCAATCACAGTGTCATTCATTATATTCAAATTCTCCGTTTGTCATTTGCTTCGCTGTGACCATCCTACTAAACTGCAAATAGCGGAAGAAAAGTTCGAAAATAACTATTGGAGCGTGGGTAATCAGTCCATTATATAACTCATGGATATCACTGGTACACTTGGTTTCAAGAGGAAACTAAAACGAGATAAGCTTCTATCCAACTCACAGGTTTTAATAAGCTGGAGGTAGCATCTGGGAATCCAGTTCTTAAAACTCGTAATCCCTTCTGAGATTTTTCGAAATATAAATCTGGTCAGCGTTTATTATCATGTAACTGTGCGGTACAAGGTTCTATCCAAAACCAGTGTGGCAGTCCCATTTGGTCCATTAGGGTTTGCACGTTGGCTATTTGATCCAAACAGTGCGGTTGCTGTGCACCTGGGAGGAAGTTACTCTGGGCATACTTAGCAGTAGAAAATTGAAGAAATATGACTGAGGGATCATCCGTGCGATATGCGCCGATCGCAAGTCCCTGATTCTGAGAAGTATTACAAATCACTATGTTGACTCCCAAGAAAGATTCCACATCATGAGTTTGTCTCAAAGTCTTCACACTCCATACATTACTTTGAGGATAGGTAAATTAAATACCATCTGTCCTATCTCGTTTCTACATGGAAATGAATCAAGAAAATCTCATAAGGATAGTGAAATAGAATATATGAATGAAAAATTAAAAAGCTAAGGTGAAGTACAAACACTTTCAGGATAGTGCACCGAATATCTAGTTAGCTATCACCTGAAATGTATCGAATGGTAGTGCATAACTATTTACGTCGCTATCAATGAGACGACCAATTATCTTTAAAACTCATAGGGTTTCTTAACTAAGCGTGCAAGCAACAGTAGAACCGATGAGGAACTGAAACATCTGGCTAAGCATTAATTAAGAGGCTAGGTAGTTGATCGTAGTTATTTAGTTTAAAGAAGATCTAAAGTGCATGAATCTGCAGTTTACCTCACTTAAAGATTAACGCACCCCATATACGTTGGTTTAATTAGACTACTGCTGCCCTGTAGGCAATTTACATCTGTCTCAACTTGCATAGACCAGTTTCACACATGGCCAATACATTATCTTATACAGCTTTCGAATATGTTGCAATGAAAACCGTCCAAGAGTCTGTTGAGTACGTAACAATGTGATTGTACACTTTTTGGTTACTTGTATAAATTCGAGATATTGTACATAATTTTTGTTTAAAACGCTTCTTGTTGAAATATACATAACTTCCGTGTACAATTGAAAAATACACTCTGCTGTTGGAGACTTCGTCTTCTCCCTGGTCACTTCTGCTTACTTGCTCCACTCACACCGTGTTGTATACTTCGGATTTATTGTAGGAGCCTACTACTCTCAACCGAAGACATTTCTACAACCGGAACACAGCAGCTACAGCAGACGCAGTCCAAACAATTAACGTGCCCGTGGATTATATAATTAATTTGTAGCCGAGGACTTAGACGTTATCTTCAAGTAATCCTTTTTGTTGCTATAACTCGTCACTGTATTTTTGGTAATATATTGTGATTTAACACTCCACTGACTTGGATTATTACTTTTATACTTGGAATGTTAGTGAACTCTAATATTAGTCCCCTACAAGTCGATTTCTAACTTAGGCATATCCAGTGTTAATACTACGGGTAGGGATACCCGGTTCGAAAGTCACTTATTACAACACAAAACAGCATTACTTTTGTGTGTTTTTTAGCAGTGTTAAAAAGCTATTAAAGACGCCCAACAATACCCATGTGAAATGACGTGAAGAATATGATGTGTCATAACCAATGCACACAAGTGAAAGTACGAAATAATAAGCACAGAGTGCTTCAAGGAGTCTTTTCGTAATGATTGACGACTGAATTACCACTAAGGTCATCATCAGCCTGTAGTGTACCTTTGAAGTTTAAATTTTTGTTTTAACGCATTGATTCACCATGGCTCCACACCATTTTGTAATTTCCGGCGCGACTGTACACTCGTGGTTCGCTTCCCTGTTGTGCTACCGTCAAGCGTACCCTTACAGATTACTACCTAGCCGGTCAACAGATAAGTTTTGCGACATCCTTGATTATTATAACTGATATTTAATCTAGGTAAAAATAAAACTCATCAGGACACACTACCCAGTCTCCAGCCTTTCTACTTTGAGAACGTTAATCAGTACTCACACGCTAGGTTGAGTACTGATTGGAGTATTAATAGGAGAGGTCTTTAGTAAGCGCTATTAGTTGGGGTCTATCTTAAGTACAATCGAGATCTACAATTGGTGAGCCCGAGTTTCACCGTTAGTAGCTTTACATGTCAATATATCTCCCTTTTCATACTAATTATTTTGTTTATTTTTGCACGTAGGGTGACAAAACATTTTTTGCCAGGTTTGTATTTATATTTGTTTAACCACTGTTTCCATATCGTCTCATCCTAATAATGTCTGAAAACGTCATTCCTGAGCAGATGACCATCGCTCTGCAACTTCGGACTTTCTGGACACACCGTCCTTCTGCATGGTTCACCCATATGGAAGCCCAGTTTGTTCTAAGGCATATTCATTCGCAAGAAACCGAGGTCAACCTTGTTATTGTGAGCCTCCTCGAAAACATCATGGAGGAAGTTTCTGACGTTCTTAGTGATCCCTCTCTAAACATGTACGATCGTCTCAAATTTGTGCTGATTAATAGAGTTGCATTAACAGATCAACGGAAAGAGCAAAACCTCTTTTGTGATATTCATCTTGGCAACCATAAGTTACTCAAATGCTACGGCAAATGAAACCGCTGGTTGCTTATTTCAAGGTCAGTGACACCCACTAAATTAGGTTTGGCTGCAACGATCGCTTCAGTCAGTCCAGGGTATTTCAGCTCCATCTCACAACTCTCCCTTACTAGAGCTAGCATAGGTGGCCGAAAGACCTTTAGAAACCACTAAGTCCAGTTTGGGCATTCCGGCAACAGTATCTGACAGTCCCGCCCAATTCAAGGATCGTTCTGCCGGTACTTCATCAAGTTTTGATACAGTAGCTCATATCACCAAGCTCTGAGAGGATATTTGTAGCCTTAGGCGAGAGGTGAGCGCTAGAAGTTGGTCCTGTAGTCGCTGGAAACCCACCTCGTAATAGATCCTCCTCGCGTACTAGCCGTAGGCGCCGGAAGTCACAAATTCACAGTCCAGGGTGTGCTGGTACCATCGGCGTTATGGTGCCAATTCCCAAATTTGCACTCACCCTTGTACCTTTGCTGCGAAACAGTCGGGAACCTAGCATGCCAGCATGTTATGGTAACTAACGTCTCTGGGGAACCACTTCTACGTTGCCTCTTATGTTACCGACCGTAAAGCTGGGACACGCTTCCTGGTTGACACTAAGGCGAGGGCAGTGTGATTCCAACCACAACCGAAGAGCGCCTGCGGCTAAAATTCTTACAGCTCCGTGCCGCAAATAGTTCACCTATCAAAAAGCATGGTAGAAGGTTCCTGGACCTTAACATCAGCTTGCATCGCTCATTTCGCATGGTTTTCATCGTGGCAGATGTGACCACCGGTATCAATGGTATGGATCTCTTGGAGCACCATCAGTCACTGATAGATGCTGGCAAACGCAAGTTGGTCGATTCGTCCACAACACTATGAGTTTCCGATATTGTCACTCACAGCCCCTCCCTAAAACCGGTGTCCTCAACACCTACCACTATTGGGCTATACTCTAACTTCTTTCACTGTTTTGCCGATCTTTTCAAACTGGCTTCCGGACTCCTATGCGTGACCTAAAACGTCACCCACCACATAATGACAGCTGGCCCAACTGGTTTTGCAAAACCAAGGCGGTTATGCTCAGAAAGTCTCCAAGCTATTAAGGCTGATGTTGAACATTAGAGATGGGGATAACCCGACCATCTATCAGTCTGTGGTCTTCACCCCTACATGTGGTGTCCAAGAAAAACGGGATAGGCTGGAAACCTTGTGGTGACTACCTCAGGATCAACCCCTAGACTGTTCCAGATCGTTATCCTGTCCCACGTATACATGACTCAGCTTCTCAAAGGTGTTGCAGTGTTCAGCAAACATGATTTGGCAAGAGCCTACCATCAAATCCCTGCTCACTCTGATGATGTCCCCAAAACAGCAGTGATCACTCCGATTGGCCTTTTCGGATTCCTTCGAATGCCTTTTGGTCTCCGCAATGCCACGCAGACGTACCAACGTTTCATCCACGGCATTTTGCTTGTGCCTAGCTGGATGATATACTTGTGGCTAGTCCAAATGAAGCAGCTCACCATATTCAGTTGCAGGCGGTTTTTCAGAGACTTGCAACATGCCCCTTGGCACTCAACATGAATAAACGCCAGATTGCTGTCCGTTCGCTGACTTTTCTGGAACATGTAATCACTGAACATGGCATTCACCTTTTGCCTGAAGAGGTGCAGGCCACTCCAGATATCCCAGATCCTACGTCCCTAAAATATTTGCGCGCGTTTCTAGGTATGGTAAGTTATTACCGTTGGTTCGTTCTCCAATATGCGCGTATTTTAACTACACTCACAGGCTTAATTAGAGCTAAGTGCAAGATATTTAGCATGACATTAGAGGCTCTGAAAGCGTTCAAGAAAGTTGAGATGTGAATCGCAGACACAACCATGCCAGTGCATCTGGACGTCCAATTTCCGATCACTATCTCTTTGGAGGCATCTAACACAGTCGTTGAAGGTGTGCTACGGCAACATTTGCGTACCTCATCGAAATCAATCGCGTTTTTCTCTCGGAAGTTGTCCGCATCCGAAGCTAGGTATAGCACTTTCAGCAGAGAACTCCTCTCCATTTGTGCTGCTACCAAACATTTTGACACTTCGTCGAAGACCGGCAATTCACGATATTCACTGACCACAAACAGCTGACGTATGTCTCTTGCACCACCACAGACTGATATACTCCACGTGAATCGCGTCACTTAGACTATATTTCACAGTTCACCACTGATATTCAAAACGTTTTTGGGGCTGACTACCCTTGTGACAACAGAAGACAAGGGCCAGGCAACAGATCGTTTATTAAGGAAATCAACATGTATGTCAGTGTAGTTGAAAATTGAACGATCATTTCATGGTTGTTTGCTGAAACCCAACTTCCCAATTTTCGTGGAGGCATCAATCAGCCAGTCATCGTCTCATCAGTCGCTATTCAGAAAGCACGTAAAAACCGTCAGAAATAAAATCGTGATTTATTATTGTAATATTCGTTCATAGACCTTAGTTATTATGCTGCTCATATGTCGGTGTTAGAATAAAAAAATTCTCGAGTCGCCAAACGGTGTTTTGGTTTTTGCGTCCGTTAGTACTAAGCGTTTCTGGAAGGCTTCGAGGGACAGCGAGAGGCCCGGCGTAGCAAGAGCTGGGCATTAACGGTTTTTGAGACGTGATTGACAACGTATTTATATATTTACACATACATTATTATAGCTTGTTCAAGCAAACAAGCACACTTCTCTAATTGGTTCTTTCCCTCTGAAAGTTGACCTTGCATCTCTTTGTGACTTTCTTGAATATCAGATTACCCAAATATTAACCGTATCTTCCTACGCAGAGTCTGTTGTGATTGGTTGTTGAATCAGTCTTGTTCATATTTTCTCACGACCAATATTTGGGACATAAACAGTGGCATAAATATTTGTCTACCAATTCGGCTAGCAGCATGCCCTCGCCACACCCTGAGTGTGCACTGTGTCAGTAACACCAACCAATGAGCTTAAAAAAATGGCTGAACTCAACCTCACAGATTCAGACTTAGAAAAGCTGTCACCAGAAGGCTCCCTGAGGACAGAACGTGTCCCTCTGGTGAATAGTGAAGATACTATACTATGTGATACGTCTACAGGAACTCCTTGACCTATTATTCCCACGTCCCTAGCCGCACCATATTTGACTGTCTTCACAACATTTCACACTCAAAAATATGCGCAATAGACAAGCTAATATCTACTAGATTTGTGTGGTCTGGTATAATTCGTGATGTGCGTGATTGCTCGCCTCCTTTTGTGAGATGCCAATGCGCTAAAGTTCACAAGCATAATATCACTCCGACTGGATCATTCACAACACCTGATACCCGTTTTATTCATGTCTATTTGGATATCGTCAGCTCACTACCTCCTTCTGATGGCCAGGCGTACTTGCTCACCTGCGTCGATCGCTTTGCTCGCCGGCCAGAAGCTGTTCCCATTGTGGTTGTAACAGCTGAGACTAGATATCATGTGTTCACGGAAAGATTATTCACACATTTTGGATGCCCGGCTATTATGACCGCCGATCGTAAGCAGCAGTTCGAGTCAACAACTTCTAAGAGGCTGTTAGAGCTTTTGGGATGCATCAGAACAACAGCATATCACTCATCTGGAAATGGAACAGTAAAGCGTTTTCACTACCAACTGAAAGCTGCGTCAGTGGTCGTCAGTAACGCCAAGTAGGCAGAGTCCCTATCCCTGGCCCTCCTCAGCATCCGTCCACCCCTCAAAGCTTATATTCAGTGTGCCACTACTGAGTTGGTGCATGGGAACAGCAATACACAAATTAAAGGCTCGAGATATTTCTGATTTTTATGAGGGCTTAGATCTTTATCTTGAAAAAGATAATAATGAACGCCTTGACAGATCATGCTTCTACCTCTAAATATATACTATTCGCCCAGCCTATTGTTGAGATGCGACCATGTGGGATGTGCACAGTTTTATGGGGCATCTTATAAACTAACTTGCTGTCCATTGACTGATCTTTAAATACCACTTCACAATGTCTTATCTCATTCATTTTCCAATAACGTCTTTACTTGATCCTCATTATATTCCATTAAACCTAACATTTTACAGCTCTTTATGACTTATTATATTCCTACTCTCTGAAGGGTACGGTTGTACATTAAATGCACAAAAAGGTATAAAACAAAAACAACTGGCACAACTGAGGATAAATGTATTAAAACCAAAATTGGACATCATGATAGTACGAGGTATATGTGTTGCATTATACATTGCAAATGAACGTTGTCAGCCTAGGGAGTTTTCTTTTTTTAATGCATTTATTGATGATACTTGCACTTACCTATTTCATTACAATTTAATGATTCACCTCAGCACTTTTACTTTTCTAAAACAGCTTTCAATCCCTTGTAAACGTTGTACTTACCTCAATATTGGTTGGTTATCGTATGCCGACAACCACGGGATGAAAACGAAACGAAGTCGATTTTCCCGCTCAACCTGGAGGACAACTGTACAATTCAATAACTATACAGCCTAGTTCAGACAATGTGTATTTATATATATATCAAATATTTAACTGTTGAAACATTATTAACTTGTAGACAATCTACGATTTGATATTATATCATACTTGATCGTGCCTGTAAAAATGGCATGCATTTTCATGTAAATTTATATGTTTATATGAGAATATACATTATTATAATATTATAATAACACACTCCGTATGCCTGGAGATATTTCTTCCACAGGCGGTGCTGAGCTAAGTATCACTGTTGTCCACTAGTATACCCAGCATCTAAAACGCATTATCCAACTAATCGGACCACACGCCAACACTACCAGAAAGCGCAAGCAGACTACAGACTCGAGGACTGCACCCATGGTTTTGGTCATTGTGACGCCGTTTCACTGCTTTCGGGTATCAATCATCTAAGGGTAGGACAACCTCTAGTGAACTTTGAGTGTTTGAACTTTTTTCAGCGTATTCATATACCATGGCGCTACGCCATCTTTGATTTCCTGCTAGACTGTTCACACGTGGCTCACTCCTTCGTTGTGCTGTCAGTGAGCACACTCATCGAGCTTGCTACCCCGGCCTGTCAACAGATAAGTTGCACACTGTTA